TTACTGGTTCTAATAAATCGTTCAGAAACACAAAGTAACTGAGATTTTTTTTATAACCAGTAAATAAGATGAACAGAAATTTATTAATTTAAACGGGAGGCATATTTAAACCTTTTCAAAAAGTACAGGGGCATATTTGACCATTTTCCTATTATTATATACAACACAAAAGCTAATTTTTTTTTTTTGGAGATAATTTTTGAATACTTGTATAGTATATTAATTATTATATAAAACACAAATATCTATGCTACTTATAGATAACATAAATGGTAAAATTAATTAAAAATAACGTGACAACCATTTCGAACTTTAGAGGTTAATTGTTTCAAATCGTTTAAATTCAGAATTCTTTAATTAATTTCTATTATTGAGGGTCAAAATTTGGTGTCAACGGGTGAAACCATGAAATATTAATATTTTGTAGAGGCATTATTTAATCGATAAATTAATATTTATTAATTTAAAAAGTGTTTTGAGATTCAATAAAGGTCAATTTTGATTTTTAATTACATCAAAATCATGGTATCGTACTAATTTATATCTCATATTTATTGAATTCACATAGATAAATAAACTTATCGTATATAAAGTATAATAAATACATCAAAATTTGTGTCTTTCTAAATTATCTATCATATTTATTGAGTTCATATTAAAAATTTGTTTTATATAAAGTACAATGTATATTGTATGATTAATTGTGATAGAGTTTTACCCTTGGAACCAGATATATATAAGGAACATTTATCGCATCTAGAACTCACAATTTTATGGTGCATTTCGAAGGGAAATATTGTTTTACAGAGATTATTAATTTATCGAGTATTAAGTTAGTGAGGTTTTACTGTATCTAAATTTAGTTAGTCAAGTATATGGGTGTTTTAAAAGCTTTCAATAGTTCGAAAACGAAACTAATAATTTGCACCAAATTCAAATGTATTTTCAATACTTCTATCTCAGAATAATTTGAAGAAAAAAAAAGTAGGAAAAGAGAAACAACTTAAAAAGTGAGTCAATAATTTAATTTCATGGAGCATGAGTTTCGTTAATATTAATCTAAGTTGTGTATGTTAAAAAATAGACAGAGGCCACAATTGATAAGTGTATGAATATAGTTAAAAAACTAAAATCGATAAGTATATATTAAAAATCCATTTTAAACCTATTCCTATAAATAAAAGACAATTTATAACATTTTCTTTACAATTCTACTCTTTCTATTTTGCTTCAATAAAATTGTTACATCTTAAATATAATTTATGTTCTTTCCACAAGAAGAGTAAGAAAACTTTTTAAAAAAAAAGAAGATCCACAATCTGCGGAATAATTTGACTTTGATTACTATTTACTAAATGTTATCTCTAAAATTGCATTAATATTTAATCATGTTCAAATTCTGAAATTGTTTGTTTTAGTTTTTCAAGAATGATTTCTTTAGTTGTTTGATTTTGTTGTCTTTTGTAGCTTAAGCAACTAATCATGTTCATATTTAAAATTTCTGATTTTGTAACACCCTAATCCTCTTATTCAAAGATGACTTTTTTTTTTTTAATCCTAAAGGGTAAATGCATAGAGCAGAGCTAAGTAGTTTAATTGTGTAGGGTCCTTATAATTATAGTTTAATATTGTGATTATATTAACATTATTTGTTTGAAATTTATATATGACTAAAAATTAAAATAGTAAATTTTAATTCTTAGTGGGATTAGTAGTTGAGAAATTCAGGATTTATTTTTATCAAATGTTTGTTTATCTTGTGTTTGGATTAAAAAGTTTCTTTTCAATTATATCATTGATTTATTATGTAATTGGGTCAAGGTAGATGAACAATATTATTTTTTCATTTTTTTCTAACTAGATAGGAGAAGAACAATATTTTTGTCATGTTTGCTATTTTTTCACTTAAATTATTTGAGAATAAATAATTGTCATCTTAATAAATTGATCGCTCAGAAAATGACAATTTTCAATTTTAAAAAGATAAAACATCTAATTTAAAATCGAAATGACAATAAACAATAGTAAAATTGTATAAATCATCTACATTTACACATATAAATTGCAAGTTGTAGTTTTGATATATATGCACTTTTATAAATTGTTCAAAATACAAATAATTAGAAAATCACACATACGGGACTTGTATTGTATTGATTTAGTGAATAATACATTCAATTAAGATCACAAATGCCACGTGGTGATATATTTGTTTTTTAAATAGTAAAAGTTAAACAACCCACTTTTCAAATATTGTATTGATTTGTATTGGATTTATTTAGTAACAAACAACTGAGTAATTTCCTTAGATAGTTACTCATGTTTGGGAAATTATATAGAAGTATCACTTATGTTTGTTTTAGAACTACAAAATCACCCAACTTTGCCTATTTTCCTCAAAATATACTTGAAACAAAAAAATACATTATTTCTCTCCTACTAGGGTGCTCTGTCACAATTTTAACTTATTATTAATATTTTTGTAATTCTTCTAAAGAACCGAAGGAACCCACATATTTTCTTGAATAACTGCTGGAGCTCATATTACAGTTATTACTATAATTTTTTTTACTGGGTATAATATGTGAGTTTGTCTAATTTTTTTAAAAAAAATCTACCTATATATAATAGGAGAAGTAAAAAGTATTACATGTAAACACAACAAATATTCAAGAATATTAATTTGTCAAAAAAAATTTTAAATATGTTCTAAAAATACAATTAAAAAACAGAAATTTTAATATAGCTATTTTAAATAGAAAATAAAGGTTCTTTTGTTAAAAAAATGTAACTACAAAAAATGGATGATTATTAAATGCCTCTAATTTCAATTTTAAAGGGAAAAAAATGAAATTGAACTATTTTTTTTATAAAAACAGTAAGGTTATTACAGGAAATTAAATGAAAGATCTCTGAATGCTTCAAATTTCAATTTTTAAGGTTAACAAATGAAAATTGAAAAAAAAATTGTAATGTCTATTTATATTTATCACACTTTCAGTGATTTTAGGGAATGCTCTAACAAAATGGAATGTAGAAATATCTATCTAAATAGGAGAAGAAAAAGTGAACCATAAAAAAATTAATTAAAAAACTTATAGTAAAAAAAATAATTATCTTTAAAAAATTAAAAAAATTATTTTTCAAAAAAATGGTTAAAATAGTCCATTACTAGTTAGTTGTAGAAATGGGATACTTTTCTTTCATTCTTTTTTAAAATTTATCTTTATATATCTAAAAACAAAACATTTTCAAAAAACATAAATAGAAAATAATATTTTTTTATAAAACATATTGCAACCTAGCGTTTAAATAGGTTTAAAACATATTTTTTCAATAATAAAAAAATAAATAATGTGAAATGACATCCTAATAGGAGAGAGATAATATATTTTTGAGGAAAATCGATAAAGTTGGGTGATATTGTAGTCCTAAAACAAACATAAGTGATATTTATAGGTAATTTCCAAACATGGATGACTATCTAGGGAAATTACTTCAAACAACTCTCTCTAAATAATTTGTAATCTAGTTTACTTAAATAATTATACCGGTACAAATATAAAACTTAAAATCAAGAAAATAATTAAAATCATATTTTTATCTTTACATTGACTTATCTCATGGTATTATATCTCATGTATTACTAACACCTTCAAGTGGAAGAAATTAATAATACATCATATAATACCATGTAAGGTGTATAACTAATATATGATTTAATCATACACAAACTCAAATTTTTACCAAATATAGTACTAAATAGTATACCATACATAATATATGACTTATTTTTCGTATACTTCCTACCAACGACCCCTAAATACATTAATAGAGAGAACTTGACCTTGAGTTAGAAAAAATAAAAATAAAAGTTCAATGGGTGAAATAATTTGTTAATGTTGTTTTGAGCATCGGACAAAGCATTATATTATTATGACTTGCCCCAGGTGTAGAATTTCATGTAAAAAATTTAGAAAAATCAAGAATTGTATTAATTATTAAAATTGTCAAGTACATGCTCCTTATATAGGCAGAGAGTCTTAGCATATAAAAATTTACATGAATATTAAGTATAGGTTTACTATCATTATAATTATAATAATTATCCTAGTCGACTTCAGCTAGTATAAAACACAACAAGTCAACAAACTGCTAATTGACATATAATTAGTATTTAGTAGCTCAGGCCTAGGCCTAGTGTGATTCCAATTCCAACTTTATAACAGTTAAAACGTTGTTCAATTTGTTTCATAAACCTATTCGATCCATATCATCAACTTTCTTTATCTTCAAATACCAGATGTTTATCGTTATAGGGAGAGGATATGAAGATGTAAAGTAATAGGGACATGAAGTATCCATACTTATTACAAATTTATACAAGTATAATATAAATTTTACCAACAAAGACAGGAAACAGTACAATCTATTCAAACATTATATTCATCATAACAATACAACACATACATTGCGATACGTTACAATACGATAAATTGGACACACAAACATTACTAGGGGTACATCCGATTTTAGTAAATTGGACGTCTTTATTCAAACAATAGAACACAACATTGTTACATATTTGATAGTAAAACACTCTTCTATAGAAATGATTTAGCATTTGAAATAGCAAAAGCAAGCAAATCCAAAGCCACTTCTGTGACAAGCTCCAAAACGAGCATCCTCTTGTTGCTTGCATTGACGGCTACAATTACCTGTGTTAATACATGGCCCTGACCATGTCTTGCTCCGCCTTTGACATACTTTTGCCTCTCCAACTTGCATCTCTACATAATAGAAGAGTTAACATGAGTTTACACTAGAATCAGAGGCAGAGCTAAGCAAGGGTTCAATTTTATAACGTGTAAATTGTATAAAATACGAGTATAGTGGTGAAAGACTTTTAAAATGTTGAATTAGGAAATATAGTAGAAAAAAATAAAGTGATGATATGTCATTACAAAGTTAAAATTGTACTACATAACAACATAAATTCTTAATTATACTATCAGAGTATATAACTTAACGCAATCAACTAGAAATATGGTAACAATTAAAATTAAGTCTTTTGACCCACTTGCAAAGTGGCTCACCATTGGATGCAATGAGGAGGAAGCAAAACATGAGGGCTAGAATGAGTTTGGTATTCATGCTGATGGATTTAATTAGAAAATTTAATGTGTATGTTTGTTGTATGAATTGTAGTGAAGAGATATTACTATAGCTAGGTATTTATAGTGAAAATTTTCCACCTATTTAGAGAATGTTACATTTGGGGCTAATTTTGTCCATACAGTATTGTTCAAAAGGAAATATTTAATAGCATAAAGTATTATTATCCTGAATCTGACATTAGATTTAAACCATGGATCACAAGACAAGAAGATTTACTTGTTGATTTTTTCTTTTATTTAGAAAAGAAATGCCCTAAATTTTGTAAAAGGGCAAATCTAATACAAGAACTACGCCATGAGAAAAACTTCTTTTTGTCATATCTGCTTTTTGAATGTGGATCATGAGAAAATAAGATAAGTTACTCTCCCTCTGTCTACAATTGTTTGTCATGGTAAGGTCATGCACATCTTCCTTAAGAAAAATTTAATATAAGGTGTAATTTGACTTATATAATTTTACTATACCAAGAATATCGAAGTCTATATAACTTTTCAATTGAACTACACTATCATTAAGGGAAAATTTGGAGAAAAAAGTGACTAATTGTTTCTTGATTTGTTATGCGGAATTCGAGATAATACGAGAAAATATAAACGCGAAAAACAAGACAACAGATTTACGTGGTTCACCAATAAATTGGCTACGTTCACGGGAAGAGGGGGAGCAGTTTTATTATGGAGAGGCAAGAACAGAATACAGAATAGGGTTTGCCTTAGCGTCTATATATATAGTGCTAAGCTACGCCCTAACAGGCTTGGACCCAAAATACAGAATTGACAGATAATTAAAGGGCCCAATACAACAACATTGTATACCGTCGGGTCGGGGGCGACTCCGCCCCCCCAGACCCCCAGGCCAGGGGGCGCGTCGCCCCCCTGGACCCCCTGACTCGCTGACCGGGCAGTGAGACCCCCGTTCTTTCTGCTGTAACGGGTCCGATTCAAGGCATTCAACATGATTATTTAAGGAAAAATGCACAAGTACCCCCTCAACCTATGTCCGAAATCCCAGAGACACACTTATACTATACTAAGGTCCTATTACCCCTCTGAACTTATTTTATAAGTAATTTTCTACCCCTTTTCGGCCTACGTTACACTAGCTTAAAAAAATCAAACATCGTTGAACCCACAAGATAGTGTCACTTACGTAAAAAGGATAGAAAATTATTAATAAAATAAGTTCAGGTGGTAATAGAACCTTAGTATAGTATAAGTGTGTCTCTAAGATTTGAGACATAGGTTGAGGGGGTACTTGTGCATTATTCCATTATTTAAATTGACAATTAATCTTTGTATACCTACCAAACTATTGTGGACGGAGGGAGTAATCAAGGTCTCATTTGTTTGCACTTAATGGGGGTATAAATCTTAATCATTCACATTCAGCCCATTAAGTGCGTTTAATTTTTTGGTCTGAATCTCAACTATTAAAATTCATTTCATTAAGTACATTCCTTTCTTATCTTATGAAAAAAACCTCTTAATGAGTCTGAATGAATCAGATCTATAATGGAGTCTTAATACCCAGACTCTATTATAATAATAAGAGTTCTTTCATAAACAAATTATCTTCTTCCTTACTTCTCTTTTGGACAACTTTCAAGTTTCTTCCTCTCATTTTCCATCCAAATACCATTTTTTTCGTTTGAATAAATAAGTTTTCATAATATTGTACAAGTATTTATATAATATTGGGAAAAAGGCACAAGTATCCCCTCAATCTATGCCCGAAATTCCAGAGACACACTTATACTATACTAAAGTCCTATTACCCCCGAATTATTTTATAAGTAATTTTCTATCCCTTTTCGTCCAACGTGGCACTAGCTTCTAGAAAAAAGTCAACCAGCGTTGGGCCCACAAGATAGTGTCACGTAGGCCGAAAAGGGGTAGAAAATTATTAATAAATTATGTTCGTGGGGGGGGGGGGGAGGAGTTATAGGACCTTAGTATAGTATAAGTGTCTCTGAGATTTCGTACATAGGTTGAGGGGGTACAAGTGCATTATCCCTATAATATTTTATATATATACAATAGTCGTGGATGAATTGATATTTATGAAGAACTCTTCTTGTCACAATTCGTTTGCTGTCAAAACTTCTTTGGAAGAAGCTATCTTTGTTTCTTGAGAAAAAATTGTTTGAGAAAACAAATAAATAGTCTTTTTTTAGGGGTGGATTATAATCTTATCCCTGAAACAATTTTTTGGAAGAAGTATTTTTGGTTTGGATTATAACTTTTCTTGATATAGTGTTAATCGCTATTTTTTTAAAGAAAAAATAATACATGTACATTCAGATATTGAAAACAAACGATCTTAATGATTTAGTGTTCAGACCTAGAAAGTACATCTTAATATTCAGACTAGCTTTCAGATCATGACATCTTAATCTTAATGCTAATCCCAATATTCAAATGTACATTCAAATTCAGACCTCTTAATCTTAATGAGAACAAGTGAGGCCTATATGACGTTTACTTGGATTTGGTTGGGTTGTGTTTCTTTTTCAAGGGAAAATTATGCGGATTAACAAACATATACTAGTTAATTAGCTAGCATAGCTATAGTTTGAATTAATTACGACTAACAATTTAATTTTAGTTATATTTACGTTCCCTATCTCCTCTCTTCCTCTCTCTACCCTCTCTCCTCTTTTATTCATATACAAATACAAATTATTAAATAAAAACTATACACATAAATATACAGTTATATGACAGGTATACAAATACAGTTAGCATTTCTCCACTCTCTGCCCTCTCTCGCTCACTTCTCTCCTCCCTCTTCCAATATCGCTCACCCCGCTTCTCATTCTCTAAATCTTGCTCGTTAGATATCAAATACATATGTATACCAATTACATACATATAATTTATTTGATAGATATACATATACAGTTCGACTCTCTCCACTTTCTGGATCGCCTCTCCGAATGTCGCTTGACATTTGTATATACTAGTTATGTATATACAATTATTTTGATGGATATATATATAAAATTCGATAGATATACGTATACAATTCGCTCCTCTCCACTCTCTGTCTTGTCTCTCTCCTCTCTCCACCCTCTTCCAATCTCGCTCCCTCTCTCCTTCCTCAAACATGTAACTATGAATTGTAATTAACAAATTATAATTATAAAGCATAATTAAGCTATTTTTGAGTAGCTAAATATAAAAATTTCCCTTTTTAAGTTTTAAATTCCTTTTCTCGTTGAAACAAATCATGTAAATCTTATTTTTGACCGCTACATATTATTAATTATTTCAGCAGGGAAAACCAAGTCCTTATTGATAAGTTTGGTGATGAAAGACTAGGAAAATGGTACATGTAGTTGTAGACTTTTAGAAAATGATTTCTAGGGAAAAGAAGTAGGTGTTTTTCTGTGCCAATAAAGAAAGGACATTCGTGACTCGATCAATTCAAAATTTAAAATTTATAAATATTTAAAGAATTTGAACGTCCCTTCATCAAAAGGGCAAAGCTTTTTTAAAATAAATTTATTACAGAGGAACAATATACTCTATTGATGATTTCCCAAATCCTTTTTCTTATGTAATTATTGTATTTTTCAATACAAATATAAAATATGTGTATGTTGTATATATTTGATGTAATTCATATGTATTTGAGATATCAGATATGAAAGCGAGATGAAAGGAGATAAGGCAAATTTGTTTATGTATTTAATATATATTAATCCATTTGGATATTATGTATTTAGAATAAATTGCCTTTAAATTGACCTCGTTTATTGCGAGATACATGCATAAGTACATATTTGAAAGCGTAAAATCTTATAAAATGCATAATATCACAAATTAACGCGTATCTAAGTAGTTAACTTCTAAATTAGATAGTGAAATTTCTCCAATGTTGTTTCAATAAAATTGTTACTGATTTATGTTTTCTTAAATATAATTTATTGCTCTTTCCACAAGAAGAGGAAGAAGAACTTAAAAAAATAACGAGATCCACAGTCTGTGGATATAATTTGACTTGGATTAGTACTAAATATTATCTCTAAAATTGCATTAATCATGTTCAAATTCTGAAATTGTTTGTTTTAGTTTTTCAAGAACGATTTCTCTAATTGTTTGATTTTGTTGTCTGTTGTAGCTTAAGCAAGTGATCATGTTCGTATTCAGAATATTAGGTTTTCTAATATTCTAATCCTCGTATTCAAAGATGACTATATTTTTTTTAATCGTCTTAATTAATATTAAAGAAAGGAATTTAGTCCTCCAACATTTTTTTAAATATATGTCCTTATCTCATATTTGAACGAGGAATCGTTGACATTTCATTCACTCTCATACCGTGTATCTCGCGCATTACATTAGTGTATCATGTATAAAATTTACCTCACGCATCAAATTAGTGTATCTTGTGCATCAAATTAGTGTATTATGTATAAAATGTACATCAAATTAATATATCATGTATAAGATATAATGTATCTAACTTAACGATTAATGCATCTTGCATTAGATTAGTATATCAGCGTTTATATTATTGTATCCGTTTTGAAGAATTTTTGTAATTATAAACTTTAAAGAGATAGACTGTAATTTTGCCTTAAAAGTATGTGATTTCTGTAATTTGTTCATCTAATTATCACTAAATATGTATTTTTAATAGCAATTGGCATATTTTATAAATGCCTCTGACGTCTATAGCGGCCTTAAATTCAATGATAATTCAACACTCTTTATTAATGTGTTCATATATTACCAATAAAAATAATTATAGTGTAGTTAGGGGTGTACAAAACCGAAGCGAAAATCGAATCAAACCGCAAATCGAGTCAAACCAAAAAAAACCCGACTAGTGGTTTGGTTTGACTTGATTTGGTGTTGAAAAAAAATACGACTATATTTCGGTTGGTTTGGTTTCAACTATGGTAAAATACTTTGATACAATTTTTAAATATCCCCTACACTTTTTCATAGTTTTTATATTTTAATATACTTATTTCATGTTTAGAAGTTAGAATTCTTAGTGATCTAATAAAAGTTATAGTCCATACATGTTGGTAATTATAAT